TATTTCCATAGTAGGACCGTGGACGTCCCTTTGACGAGTTTATAATGTGGTGCTATGAATGGCGAGACTCACTGACGATGCCGACTACGATGCCGGCGAAACTTCTGGGAATGTACCACGTCCACGTGGTAGATTAAAGTCCTAGTCAAAGAGTAGCTGGATTTTGATGACTCGTCTAAGATAGCCTTCCTGTGTTGACATTAATTATGTGTAAAAGGGTCTGATGAAGAGATTCGTGTTTCAATCACACCAAAAATTGGATAGCGGATTACCATTGTTTGTAGTCGCTTAATTTTACCATGAACTTCAGGCTGACGCAGCCCACGGAACCTCTTCCCAAATAAAGATAGAGCCAGATTTTAGTATCAAAGCGTCCCCAAATCATTTTCGGCTTATTTTGTCAAATTAACAATAGAGACGTGATATAAAAATTGTTTGACCTTGTTTTCGCAACTCGGTCATATTGCTAGGAAGACTTAAAAGAACGCACCCAGTCTGGAGTCCATTGTATGCATCATCATTTCCAGAGTAGGATCGTGGACCGTCTAGGAATGTACCACGTCCACGATCCTACTCTGGAAATGATGATGCATACAATGGACTCCAGACTGGGTGCGTTCTTTTAAGTCTTCCTAGCAATATGACCGAGTTGCGAAAACAAGGTCAAACAATTTCTATATCACGTCTCTATTGTTAATTTGACAAAATAAGCTGAAAATGTTTTGGGGACGCTTTCATACCAAAATCTGGCTCTATTTTTATTTGGGCTACAACTCCTCTAAATAGTGGACGGAGGAGCAAGACAGTTCTGCTCCCCGCTCCATCAACCCAATTTTGACGTTGCGGTATCAAAAGTCTGTAGATGTTTACCTATTTGGCATACAGCATTTGCTTTCTTCATTGCAGGCCATCACAGAAGCCGATAGATTCCGATGAAATTGTTCATACATTGAAAACCCAAAGCAAGAGTCCATTAAGTTGGACTATCGGCTTCTATAGGCCAGACACTATGGAAACTTTCTGCTTAAGAGGCAGGGCCAATAACTTTTTTAGGTTTAGCCTGCATAAGTTAAACTAACTGTAGGGTTGTGGCTGTCTGTGTGGAGGTATCCTCGCGTTGCCTCTTTCTACTGACTTGTCCCTCACTAATTCTCTCTCTCCGCCAACAGGCCTAGCTACTAATTTCGGGAGGTCATCCCGTCCATTTCGAGGCTCATCCTCCTCTGCTGACTCCGGCCTCGACGACAGGACAGACTGACTGGCTGGCGTCCACATGTACACGTTTGAGCAGGCGCACCGCAGAACTCAGGCAAAAAGAGAGTTATCTGGAGTGAAGAGCCCATTGCTTCTGAAGACCTGTCAGCGAGTGAGTGGCGAAGTGGACTCAAGACCCATCCACCCGACGAGACACGCATACACACCTACATGCAGACACACAAATAAATAAGTAATAAATTAAATACTTACATACATACACACACACACACACACACATATGCATACAGTCTTAGATCTATACATGCATGTATATACTCACACGTACACACATACAGGGTACAATTTATGCGCATGGGCGTGGAGGAAAACGAAAAAATGAAAGTGTACCAATGAGCAGATGCATTTGTACGCGAATGAGTTGGGCTTGTAAGGAAGGGGACTTAAGGACATCCATTCGTAGCTTCAAGCCAATTGTAGCCTCCAAACTGGAGTCAATTGTTTTCAAGCAAAATGGGGCCCGTGTTTGAGGTGAATGTGGCCATGAAAGCAAGCGTGGGTTCTTACATTCTGTCAAGCGGGCGCTCGAGGGTGATGATGAGAAAGAGAGGCTTCTTATTGCCTTGGCCCCCGTTGTAGAGGCAACTGTTGAAGCACATGAATTTCCCGTTGAACTGACTGTACTCGCAGCCCTCTGTCCGGCCAAAGCAAAGGTAGGAAAGCACCAGAAGATCGGAGTGTGCAGTTGGGAAGTTAAATGATGCAAAGCACAGTGTGCATTGCATATGCATGTGTGCGTGTGTGAATGTGTGTGTGTATGTGTGTGTGTGTGTGCAGGGGGAGAGGGGGTTGAAGGGACGAGAAACAGATAAGCGTGACGAGATTAGATTCCGGCATGCAGTGGTGAATTACTTTTGACGAACCCCCTAAACTCATGCACCAATGTGTGTATGTTAGTGTGGATTTGGTTTGTTAGGCAGAGAGAAAGACAGGTACATGGGGATGACTCAAATGGTGGCCAGGGTGTATGACGGATTTTTACATTCTTAGACCCGATTGTGTATGATTAAGATGCACACTCATCCATGGTTGTTACGCCGTGCATGCGCATAAGTGTGCTAGTGTGCTCAATGGATGTGCCGATTCAGTCTTGCATTCCGGCAGAATGGTACGAAAAGACCATTTGAGGGCTGCTCAAAGTCAACAGTCACTTGATTCATCGTGTCCAGTGACCTGAGTATAGGATGAAAACGTCAGATAGATAAAATGGGTGAATAAATATGGTACGTCAGACTTGACGTCCAGACTTGAATGGTCATAGTACGAGCACTAAAATATCGTGGAACTGAAAGTGGTTGATGTATTGACCAGAGGGGCATAAATAGACCCTGATATGTGTGTACATTAGATTAACAATTAGTAGATGAGTAGGTCGATAGCTCGTTGGTTTTGTATGGGTAGGTTGGAGGTGGAATATGCGAGAAATGGTTGGATGGCTGATTGAAAATTAGACGGTCAAGAGATGGTTGACTGAGAAGACGACAGAAAGTAAGGAGATAAAAATGTATTCTTTTGAAGGAGCCCGCTAAATAAAATTCCTCCAACGAATGAACTCGTCTAGCGGTGTGTGAACATGTGATTGTGAATACGAGTGTGTGAGTGTGTCAGATTGTGAATGTGCGCGTGGGAGTGAGTTAATTAAATTGTTTGTCTTTCCGCCAGTCAGTGGGCTGGGCGAGTTGTGGCAGCAGGAGAGGGAGCCAGTGTATGCATGAGTCAGTGAGCGACTGGCCTACTTGTTGAGCATATGTGGTACGAGAAAAATCACAATCCTTCTGGTCACCCGGCTAATGAGCATGACGCCCAATTTGGCACACTCCACCTCTTGACATAATCACCTACTCCGGGCTGGAGCACCACCCTCTTCCTTGATGCCATCTTGCTTGGGCCCTAGTGGAACCAGACTTCAATGGGCTTGACTACAGCCAGCATCGCGAAGACGGCCCAGTCTGGTGGGACGTCCGGGGTGGAAGAGTGAATATAGCAACGGCGCAGTTGACTACAATTCCACATCTCAATCGAGGCGGATGAGGCAAGACGTCTGGTGAGGGGGAGGTATGTGGAAAGATGCGGTCCGGCGAAGAGACCATACTCATAAAATGCCAGAAGCGACTGAGGCATCGGCAGCAGGAGATAATTGGTACGGGTCATCTCGCCCTGTTCTTCGGGAGTACAACTACGAAAACGGTTTATTACCCGTCCTCTCTCATTTGCCTTTTCTCACATACAACTTTTCGCTCTGGATGCATATAAATATGCACACATACAGACATCCACAAACATGCATGCACATCCAGTCGGCATGCATTTCTTCTGCTGGCTCATTTTGACAACTTGGCTGTGAAGTTTTTGCTCTAATTCAAGCTGACCTGTTGCCCAGGCAACTAAAACTGGGCCTTCGTGGACGGGCCGGTCAACTTGTACTAAAAGAGGCTACCAGCATCAGGAGAGAGGAGGAAAAGGTATGAAGGATCAAGCAGATGCCAGATGCAGCTCCCCTTCTTTTATGCCTGAGGAGTTGTGAGTTGCTCTACTGGCCGGGCACAAGTCTCTAACATCTTCATCAAACGAATGCCTGACAGGACGTCTCTCAAGGCTTGACCGTGGGCCTGCTGGCCTGTCGGAGACGGGAGAGGGACTGGGTTGTCAAGTGCCGGGCGCGAGGAGGCAGGACGATGATGAATCGCACACTTTGCATATTGCGATGCCACTAGTTCCTTCAGGTCAGACAAGATTGGGCATCGAGACTGTGTCGAGCCTCTTGAAATAGGTCTCGCCTGCCTGAGCCAGATCTGTGATCTGTAAACTTGGATTGTCTCCGTTTTGGCATTCACTTACCCGCTCCCTCCCCCCAATTACTGGGCGACTGCTTTTCGTAGACTGAAGTCTTAGTCAAAGAGTAGCTGAATTTTGATAACTCGTCTAAGATAGCCTTTCTGTGTTGACATTAATTATGTGTAAAAGGGTCTGATGAAGAGATTCGTGTTTCAATCACACAAAAAATTGGATAGCGGATTACCATTGCTTTGTAGTCACTTAATTTTGCCATGATCTTCAGGTTGACGCAGCCCACGGAACCTCTTCCTTTGATTCAAGTAAAAATGAACCTAATTCTAGTCAGTCGGGTGACAGAGATCATCAAAGATTTTAAAAAAACGGGTATTCAAAGAATTCCTCGGTGATTTACTTGGATATGACTTTGCATTTCGAAGGGAAAGTTGGATAGAAGGTAATAATGAAATGTTATTACGGGAAACCGGAAGAAAATCGACGCGGAAAGAAGAATGTTGAATCTTGCGAAAAAGTCGTCGGCTCACCATTCTACAACCCCGATGAATCTGTGCTCAGCTTTCGTCTGTATCACCGTAAAAGACATCGTCAGAAGGCCAATTCGTATGGTATGTACTTTTGCTCTGATGATGTCTGTTTTGGTGATAGAGACGACAGTTTAGAACAGGTCCATCTGAGTCGCCGGACGGGGAGCCGAGGACTTCTTTACACAATCCAACGGTCTTGACTCCACGGCCCTACTTCTTCGGCTTCAGGTGAGACCATTCCACGAGTTCCTTCCAACCAACTTTTCCTTTAAAATGGAAAGTCATGCTTCAATCGTCAGAAATTGATATTATTCTTGAAAAAAATTAAAATTATCTTCCAGCAAAAGAGACTTAATCAGCGCTAGCTTATATTCTACACAACTCGCAGATAGCAAAGAAAAGAAATAACATATAAATGGATCTAGAGTTATTTGGATTTCCATAGTCATGCTAGTCTAAGAACTTTAATAAGAAATAGGTTTACTCTATATTGTTGAAGCTGAATAAGCTCTGTTAGTTGAATTTTCTCACAATCATATGTGAAGGTCTTAAGTTTGCATTGAATATCGCATAGTCTTGATGTCCAAAAGGTATTCTTGACCAGGCAGTAGTGGACTGCACTTTCGACCTCGTCTTAAATCGTCATATCGGCCACCCACGGCGGGACTCGAACCCTTGCAGTATATAACGACTAGGCTCCTCTGCAAATACAACTTAGCTACTTCGACTATCTCCCACAGAAATATGATATCATAAAAGGGCTATACTTCCTTGAAGTCTACTTCCGCCCTGGTATCAAAGGGCACTCGTGAAGGTGTGGCGTAGTGGTTAACGCATCGAGAATTGGCGCTGCTCTATTATATTCTGGATTCGAGCCGGCTGGGGGTGTTAATGAGATATGTTCAGGCATGGTTGAAAGTAAAGTACATTTCTGCATGGATGAGACTAACTTTCGGGAAACAAGGTTATACAAAATCAATTGGAAACGCAATGCCTACTCATATGATTGTGGGGAGATTTTGCAAATAGTCTTTCATCAGCATAACTGAAAGAGGATGAACACATTTCCTGTTCAAAATATACTGGTGGTCTCAAAACCCAATTTAAAAATGGAAATACGTAATTATATATATATATATGTATATATATGAGTGTAGACGTTTGCGAGTGTATTTATATCTGTACAAATAAAAATCAGGTTAACAATCCACTAGTCATTGATCTGAGTAAGTACAAGAGAGATCATTATCATTCACGTTTAATCAAATTTTAATTTCTCTCGAGGAAATATATAAGGGCGCTTTGCAATCCCGAACGCAGGTTTGATTGAGCTGATGTGCATACAAGAACTGCTGAGCGGATGCGAATGTGGTTATAACCCTCTCTGAGCTGACCAGTTGAG